GGTGCTTCGGGTGCTCTTATCCAGGTACTCGATTACCCCCGCAATTTACAACTCCAGAACAAAGTCTATATCCTCGCAAGTATCATCAGCTAAGAAGTTACTCACTCTTTGAGTGATGTAGGACACTACACGGCATTTGTGCCCAACAATGCCAATTGGTTATTATTTAATGATTTAAGAAAAAAATCCATACAAGTTGAAGAAGCAACAGAAATAAATGCACAAATGTGTGTAAATGAGTTCCGTGATATTAGTCTATTTAGATGATTTAATTTATTTAGTTATACTTTACTTTAGAATACATTTTTGTACAGTTTTTGTGAAAGAATAGTTATTGTTTTGTTAGTTTAGTTTATTTATTAATTTATTACTTAGTTTTACAAAATAATAGTTATTTATATTACAAAGGGCTAGAAACATAATTACTGTACGAGTGTGAAGAATTTCGTGTAATCACACGAGTACTGTAATTATGCTCTAGCCCACGTGTGATATACAGCATTTTATCTACGACTGCTAAAAATTACTAAAAAATCAATTTCTTTAAAAAAGTCTATTTGACATTTATAAAAATATTTTGAAATGATTGTTGACAATTTTGAATTGTCAGTTTCAACAACATGTTTACTCATCTGGAATAAGTGTTTGAAATGTAAAAACATAACAATTAATGTTTATAATAAATAGTATTGTTTCTCTATAAGTAGATAGCACTTTTTCTTTTGTATTGTTGCTCGTTTAATGAAACTAGTGCGGTAATGAACTTCATTACGTAACTCATATTATCTCAAATGAGTGCGGTAATGATGACTTATCCAAGCAGTCGTAGATAAAATACACTTTAAATCGCTTATGTTTTATTATTACAAGTTTAAAGAGAAAGGTGATTTTTAGAAAATTAGGATGGTCAGATTATTCCATATTATTTAATTTTTTAAAACTATTATTATATTAAAGGTTGGTTCACTGATTCAACAAAACCTGTCCGATATCACAACAACTCAAATTTAAGGTTTTTCTAGTGAAAATATCAGCTGTTCTGAATTGTTTTAATTGTTGTAAGTACTAATTTTTAATATAAAACTTTAAAGGAACTAAAGCCGCAGTGATTAAATAAACATTTATAAACAAGTACCTAGAACAACAAGAACAATTTAGAGCAACAAAAAATATGTGATTTTGCAAAATTAATGTCCGTGTTAAAGGTAAAACACATCTAGAACAATTTGAATCGGCAAAGTTTGAGTTATTTTAGATTGTTCTATGTTTTTTAATTCTTATTGTGTAATATAAAACCGCTGACACAAGAANACGAAAAAATGAAAAACTTATAAAAACTATTTAAAAAACACATTAAAACATGTTAAAAATATAAAATATAAAATCCCAAAAAACTACTTACTGTCAATAGAAGACTAATATTGTAAACTGAAGATCATCAAAAAGGGGGCAATTGTAAGTATATATAAAGAGACGTGAAGACTCGTTTCTTCTCTATTGTCCAAAATTAATTTAATATTTTCTCGAGTGATTTTAACTTTATGTTTTCTCCTTTTAAATTCAGTTGTCACTGAGGATGGGGTAGCCCCGAAACTAGTTTGATTACAAATTTATTAAATATAGCAAGTTAAGAAGTTTTTTCGTTTTATTTTTTAAACCTATT